TGTCATTGTGTCGAGTTGTCAATTCGTTTCTTGGTATTATCACAGATTATATAAAATTAAATACAATATTAATACCATCGTTCTTTTATATGTCTGTGTAATACACTAATATTATTTCATATAATCTGTAGTATTATTTGTTTGCAATTGATTCATTGATAATTCGATATTATGATTATGTAAGGGTGTAAGGCTTAAATGCGTAATCAGTATTCACAGCTACGTCGTGTGTCGCGCGAGGGCCTGGTTATTATATGGTTACGACTGGTAACCAATATGGTTTAAAAGTTGGGCTGTAGCTGTAATAAATTCTTGGTATACTTCGGTTACATCTTGGTTATTACATGATACCAAAAAAGTAATATCCAATCACGATACGATTTGATCGACACGACGCAGCTTGCTGTGAATCCGACTTAAAGTTAATTTTAATCAGAGTTTAAGAATTAGGGTTTATCCCCACGACCCACATAAATATAACTATCTTTATCTATATTTGTGGTTTATCCACACGACCACACATACTTAAAAATAGTTCGTACTTCGTAGTATTTTAGTTCTTAAGTGTATATTATGGATTGATCTCTCCATGATAAAATATATTTATTATAATTTGTCACGGATCCACCTTGATTCATGTCGAAGAATTTGTTAGTATAATATTGTAATATATTAATTCGTAGCTCATAGGTTTATCTAAAATTCGTGATTTCCATTTTTCAATACTATTATGGGAAATCCAGATATATAGCTTAATGTTGTTTCCTGATTCCTCCATGATTAGGAAACAAAATGGTAGACACGGTCTATAACCTTTTTTAATAGGTTAATACAAGATCAATAATCAATATTGGTTTTATTGAAGGTACTTGAATAATATTGAAAATATCAAAACCGTTTTAATATTTATTGGAGGGTTTTTATCGATACCAATAATATTGATCGTGTATGGGTCACTTAATAATTTAGACATTTGAGTATCACAACCACTATTTTGTTATTATAATATGAAAACCCTATATTATTTGAGTTTCGTGTATTCAGTATTCACACTTCAGTGTGTGTGTTTCAAATGCCCATCCTATTTCATATTATCGTCTAATAAATTAATAAATTAATAATAAGGTACCTATCTATAATTTAGGAAATTTGGAACGTTATTGAAGTTTATCGCGGTTAGGTAAATACTAAAAAAACGATCTATTAAATTGTATAGTTAATGACATAATAGTCTTACACCGCATTTCGATAACTATGATATTGAACTGCGAAAAAAATCAACGAAAAATGTATTTATTATATTTTATTTAACGTATAAACCTGTTCGCTCGTCCACCCTAGTATTTGTTGAAATTAAAAACTGACAAATGACAAACGTAGATGCTTATATTTTTATACTTCAACTATATTAATAATTTTTGAATTGATTAGTTCATTATATATATTTGGAATTTTTAGTAGGTCAACGAGCGATAAAAATTAACCGTAATAATAGTAATACATAATGTCATAGTATGCAGTATGCAGTAATGCAGTTGGTACGTAATACGTATGCAGTATGTATGCACTTAATTACTTAAAGCGATTAGACACGACTGTACAAAAATAATATATCATTATTATCATTATAATTCAGCGTGAAATCTCCTGGTCACCGATAACGTTGCGCACTTGCCTTGGTTCCATCTAAATGACTAAATAGTAAATTCGATCTAATATTATTATCATCTATAAAGATTCGCCATGATATTATTACTGTGGTCATTGTGGATTGCGACGCGAAAACGAAATACGATTAAATTTATTACACGTCGAATGTCAACCGTTCTTCCGCCGACAACACGACACGATTACAACGATAATAATATGGTACCTAACCTACCTATGTCGGTAATTTATGTTTTAAAAAAAAAATTATATGAAACATTTTCTCGCAAAACGCTGCCAAGGCGTGCGCCCGATCCAAGTCTGAACGGTCTCGTCGCGTCGGCGTGTCACGATCGCGTAAATTGTAAAACGTCCGAGAGCGGTTCAGTAGATAAAAATTATAATATTATAACATTATTATGGGTTATTCGAAGACGCGACTGCGATGGTAGAAAAAAAAAACTCGTGGTGTGTGGGCGTTTTGAATGAGGTGGCTTACTGCTTCTTACAACAGGCTTCTTACTGGTGTATAATATCGAAGGGTTTTAAAAAGTCGTTTTAGAGTGAAATGTCTGAAAGCAAAACCATATCGGAAGAATTGGCTATAGCATTTACGTTTTACGTATGTGTTGGGTGACCAATTTTCGATATCTCGTGATTCACCTCAAAAATATGTCGTACGACTCAGAAAATATATATTTATAATTATATATAATAATATTATTATAACGCTGATCTATAGATACAATTCCCCTGGACTTGATGTCTTGCGCCGTCGCATTTATATTATTATAATAACGTATAAAACTATAAAACCGTGTAGTCTACCGACGCACAATGGCCGCGTCGTAATCGTCGTCGACCGTCGTTCTCCTCAATGGATTTCTATGCCATCGTGTACTGTTATACCTATTATTCCAAATTCTATATAATATGTTATATACTTATATAATATAGTATATACACTTTTGTGAACTCCATTCTCTGTAGATCGTTAGAACATTTCGTACATTTCGTTAATTCCGTTCGTTGGACGGTCCAGTACAATATTATTATTATTATTATACATAATACATGTAGGTTTACAACGGATTTGTTTCGCGTTTGCCGGTCGATTGTCCGCCGTCCGCGTATGGTTTACAAACAGTATACTTGCTTTAAACATTAAATATTAATATGCTTCGGAGACCGGAGTACCAACCCCGCTGCATTTCATACCTACGAAACTGGAAATAGTACTATAGACTTTAAGTGCTAGACTCTAGAAGTCTAGAGTAGTATTATAAATATAATCTATCGTAGGTTAGGACTTGGGAGACGATAATATATATTTCACAGTTTCAGATTTCAGGGAGGGTCCCCTACGCCAACGGAACAGTAGAGCACCCTCTATCCGTTAATCGGCATCCCTCGAAAACGCTCCGATTTTATACGTATAGTCGAGGACGCTGATTTTAGCGCCCCCGATGGAGTTTTTTTGTCAGGGCTATTAGTATCATTAGTTGAATTCTGTTTTTCACCAAAACTATTAGATAGTATACGATCAATACGATTAGATAGCCCTAACAAAAGTGCACGCTAAAATCAGCCGCCTGTGTCCCCGACCAGACGTATACGAATATTCTCGGTATTAATTGGTATAATATTCGTTTATCAGCGTTTCGGTCAGAGAATCGTATTTTTTTTTGCTCGGAAAGTCGGAATTGTGTCGAGACGCGGACGATAAAAAACCTGTCGTCTATATTGCGATTTTTCTGAATTTTTATTTTTACCTTCGAGGAATATTAATACAGCCATATTATAACTATACAGACAAGAGGAGGCGGCAACAGAGTGATCGTCGCGAAGTTTTATGATTTTCCATCAATATCAAAATATGGTTAACGAGGAGTTTCAACCGCCTGAAATAATAATAATTATTTTAACAACGTTCGGTTATTTCCGTTTAATAAATCGATCGTCGGCGTTCGTGTGGCGTCGTCCTATAATACTACTCATTACTCCTTTGTGGTTTTTATAATATTATTATTACACCGTCGGCATCTGGCACGCGTCCTGCAGCTGCTCTGCCAAAGAACACGATGTCGGTGTGTGTGACACGCACACTTGAAAGACGGAAAAAAAAAAATTATTAAAAATATTGTAGAAGTAAACGACGATGGCGCACACCGCCGCCAAATAAACGGCCTTACGACGGGTATGGGCAGGGGGATTATTTACTTTCTCATTCGTTTCGATATTTCGAACACCGCACACGCCATTAATGTACGTAGGTGTATTATTATCAATATCAATTGGCAATTAGCAATATTATTTCGACGGCGAGCAACAGATTAGCTCGGACTCAGGAATTTCCGAACGAAAATACTCAAAAGCAGAAGAATGGTATCGGTTATATCATAGAGTAATACTGCTCTATGGGTTATATTATATTTTTATACATATATTGTAACTATAATAAATAGTATGATGAGATGTACCATTTTAATGGCTGAATACGAAATGTAATTACTGGGGGGTGATTACTGAGCAAACGAATAATATTCGACAAAACGTATGCTGTTTTTACTTATCGAATTTGAGCAACCAATACGACAGAACACTGAACAGCCAAACAGGTACGATAAATAACGTTAAGTCCGTAGAGGTCGCGGTCACAGGATTTAGGATCATCGATCCATGGTGAGAAAAACAGCAACGGTCATCACGTCATAATAATGACCATAATACATTAATACCATCCTTATGGAGATTGGACTACCAACAATAATATAATATTACGAAGGACGATCGTTTGGATAGAATGAGAGATAGCAACCGCCTACATATATTTTCATACAACGGTATTTAGTATTTACTATAATATTATTATATTTTACGACCACTGCCAAACGATGATCATAATATTATAAACGGGTGGTGTCACGGCGGCGGCCGACCAAAATATATATATATGTTTATAAACCATAATAAACGTTACGATATTGTTGATTTTTCCCTCCCGCCAACGCCGTTGTAAACCCGCCAAAAAAACCCAATACAAACGAAAGGTATGTATAGTAATAATAATAATAATAATAAAACGTAGGGAAGAAAAATGTGGAAAGAAAAAAGATGTATAAAAAGCGAGCGAAATTGTCGGAATACAGCGATGGCCGGAGGCGGGTGGTCGTGAACTCTGGATGAACGACGGTCGGAGGGGTCGCGAGCGTCGTGAAAACATAAAAGCCGACCGGAGTTGCCAACAGCGGGATTGTTTACCGGGCGGCCCATGCTGTTGGTCACGCCGCGCGATTGTCGCCATGTCGGATTGGCTCGACCGATCGAGGTCACTGCGCATGCGCCCTAACGGTTCAACGGTTTTCACCCACGCCGACCGGGCCCGCGGAATCGCGATCGATGGCCGTTCGATTTTGGAGACTCTGGGCCCACAAAAACCACCTGAAACGGGATTTTTCGCGACGAGAGCCTGCCAGAGGTGAACACCCGTCGTTTCCGTGTCGTCCGCAACGTTTCCGAGCCCCGAATAGGGTCTGGTGACCGGCGGACGTGGTCCCGCACGACATCGATAGTTTCAGCGCGCGGTCGATAGTTGAGGGTACGCGCCGCGGTCGGCGTCCGGCGGCATTCCCTCCATTGTTGCCGCCGCCACCGACGCTTCTTCTCATTCGCGAAACGCAAACGCCGCGTCTCTTCCCTTTGTCGCGCTTGCTCCACGGTTTATTTATTCCGAGTCCGTTACCCGACACACAACACAGTTCCTATCCGCTTTTCGCTTTCTCTTCTGCCGACAAATTCTAAAAATATCGCACATAATGGCCGACGTTGTAGCTGATGTTATGTGAGTCTTTATTACCATTACTATTAATTATTGACAATATTATTACCTGTTACTGTTATTACGATTATTATTATTACTGTTACTATTATTATTATTATTGCTATTATTTTTAAAAGTATAATACAGGTATTGTATATTATATTTTTATTGTTTTGTATCGTTATTGTCACCGTTCTTCGCGCCGACGCGCCGTGGCCGCGGGTGCTAACGTCTCCGCCGCCACCACCACAGTCGTGGGGGGCCGCTTTTCTCCCCCGTGCGCCGCGATCGCGCGCATACCTCTTAGGACGCCGACGCCAATGCCGCGCGCCGAGACGTTGGCTCGGCGTGAGTCTTTGACCGCTGCCGACGTTCGTCTACGTCTCCCTCGACCCGTAACGACGCCTCGCCCGGCGGACGCTCCGAATCGTTTGCCCACCCTCGCCGGTTTCACCCAAAACCGTTTCATCCGAAACACTATTTCAGTATTTTCCCCTATGGGACCAACCGGCCTCTGGCGATCGTCGCGGTCCGGCGTGGGAATCACATGGTCGGTGCTCGGAAGCGGGTTTTACCTGTCGATCGCCGACGAAACGCTTCGTTTGTTGACCTTGCCGCCGACAGACGCCGCGTCGCTTTTTTTTTTTTTTTTCGGATCACAAGGTGTCCGTCTAAAGTGGTTCGCTTATCTGACCATGTCGCCAGTCGCTCACGCATGTGTCTAGAACCTCGCGGAAAAAAAAAAACATTTGAATTATCGATAACGTATAATAATAATAATAATATAATGTTTGTTGCTACTTATGCAGTGTCACGCTTCATCAAATCACAATTTACATAGGTCGGCCATGCAGCACGTTGACCCCTCGTTCTTGTAATCATCATTGCCCCCACAATTGGCTCATTGGTTAGTTGTCAGTATTGCTCTTAATAATTTAGTGGACTATCTATTAACCTCTGCCGACCTCATGTGTTCATTCATTCACTCATTTGCAGTGTAAACAAATTAAATATTTGATAATTATACCCTAATCCATTGTGTTTGAGTAATTACATATTATGTTGGGTATAGGATAACCTGTTTAATGAATAAAGCAATTATTTTAACTGTTGGCAAACACCTGGACTATAAATTTAACAGCCGCTGACCACCTGCTGGAATCCTTTTATTACCACTTACCAGTTTCCAAGTCTTATTTGCTTGTAGATACATAATGATGATCGTATGACGTTTGGTTGAATCACCTATTATTGATTATGTTACATTTAAACAAATTTTTATTTTTATATATTTTTTTTTATTAGTGAAACTGTCACCACCCCAGAAAAGAAAGTAGCTGACTCGCCAGTGAAAGATAAGAAAGTGCCAGATTCTCCAGCCAAGAAAGTTGAGTCTCCAGTGAAAGAAAAGGCTGCTGAAAATGGATCCGCAAAAGCTGAAGAGGAAGACGATGAAGTTAAAGAAAATGGTGCTTCAGAAGAGGAAGAAGAAGAAGACGATGATGTAGTCGAAAAAGAACAGAATGGTGATACCAAAGGTTTGTTTTACATAATAGTTAAACATTATTTTATTTAATATAGATTGAATTAATTAACTTTATTTTCATTTGTTTTAGACGACGAAGAAGAAACAGACAGTTGTCAAAAAGGTGTTAAGAGGAAATCTGGTGCTTCCGAAGCAGCTGTTGAACCTGAAGACAGCGAGAAGAAGGCTAAGTTAGAAGAAGCTGAAGAAGATCCAGCTACTGCAGAGCCCCAATTTGTCGAAGCGTAAACACATGTCCTTGACATTAAATTATTCTAGACCCTACCCTCCTTTTGTTATAATGATAACTACCATTTTGACTTCGAAGCAGATCTCTTTGATACATGAATTATAAACTCTCCATGTTCAATTTGTAACTCTGCTCCAAATTATAATATGACGTACAAAATGTTTCCTTTTCTCAAAACTCAACAGCTCCGCGGTACTTTGATAATTAATTAATTTTAAACTTAATTTTAAGTTAATGGTTTTTTTTACGTCTTAATGAACTTGGTCAATTTTTATTTTATATCTTTTTACTATAGGATATGGTAAAATTATATTATACAAAAGTATAGTTTTAGACAAGGGATGGTTTCTTTTTAATTTTAATATTGAAAACTATCAATATTTCTCTAAACTACGATGTAAGTAGCTAGAAAATTAGTAGTACCTGTTTTGGTCCCACTAGTAGGGTTTTTGTATTATATTCTACTTTAAATTTAAATAAACAATTTATCTATAAGTTCAAAGTGGAATACATTTTTAAAACTATAATATAATATGGTTGTAATTACAATTTACCTATTTAGCATAATACAGTTCTAGTATTAAATATATTTACCAATGGTAATTATATATATTATATAGTCTATAAAGTCCTGCCTATTTTATTTTTTTTACCCTTGTATACACCCCATTTCATTAAATTTTTCTTTGTATAAATTTGGTGTAATTTTTATGATTATTTAAAAATATTTTTCAAAGTTCTGTTTTGGTAATACTAAAAACTGTGTATCTTACACAGTCATAAATTGTACTGTACTGTATCTGTTTTAATTAATAAATTGTCTAGAATGTATAACATGCCTTTGTGATTTATTAGATTAACTAAATCCTACTCAATACCAAATTATTTTTTAATTACATTAATTTTATTTTATAAAAATGTTAATGTTAACTATAATATACGGTTATTAAGTAATAATAATAATAAATGAGGTACTAACAAGTTCTACAATTAATATGCTATAATATAAATTTTTCACATAAATATAATTATAATTTGTATTGTTTGTCAAGTATTATATTTTAGTTAAATTTGTGAATTAGTCATAATTAAGAGAACAATTGTTTTTTGTTTTGTGACAATTTTAATACAATATGTGTAATGAGTATTTACTTAGTATTCTCAAATTCATTAGCATTTCAATGAAAATGTTTTTCTCCATAGGTCAGTTATATTTAATTGGTTAAAATCAAAATAATAAGATTTCTTTTGTGAAAAAAATGTTTCATTTACAATATTAATGATAAAAAATTAACATTTTCTGTTAAAATTATCAGCATTTGTTGTATTCTTATTTCATGCATATTTTTTCTATGGTTAATTATCAAAGTGATTTTGGTTTATTACACACAAACTTATTCAATCCACTTTGGTTTTAACAGAGTTATGTAATACTTATTTGATTTTATAAGTTTGTATTTTCTATGTGGGAGTTTCAATGCATTTAGCATTTTTTCTTCTGGTAGAATGTTTTGGTACAAATTACTTTGGTTTAATTTTTTGTTTCAACAGCATTTTTATGGCATTTTAATAATAATTAAATTTTATTAAGTGTATTTTGAGATTCTACTGTAAATGTAAATATATTTTACTGCCAGTACTAACAATCAAAATTAATCTAATCTCGTATTTTAAATTCCACCCAACTAATAATATTGAAATTTGTAACCATTATACGATTGTCAAAATGTACAATATAATATAATATAATGCTTTTATGATCTGATCAATCAAGTTTAGCATCGTCAAATCAATATTCACTATATCAGCATATTAGCCTATATAATTTATTGAAATATATTTCTATCTACTATGTGTCTATGTATATTACATTTTAAATAATTGTATTCCTAGTATATTTGTTGTAATTATTAGTTTTTAGTGCATTATTTCAAATAGACCATTTATGAATTTTTTTATTTGTCCATGGTGTCAATTCCCAGCCAAATTATAAATCTTTTAAAGTATTTTTTGTTTATTAAAACCATACTAAAAAGGCATTATGAGTAAATATGCTATTAGTATTTTGTACTTAAGTAATAGTTATCAATAACAGTAATTATAATAGTATAAATAACAATAATTATATTTGTGATGACAAAGGCATAATACGTTAAGATTAACATTTTTTTTTTTTGAAAATACTTAAAAACGTTTTTTGGTGTTATTCATGTTTCATTGATTATTATAACGTACTAACTTGAATGTGATGTGATGTAGTCACTAGTCACGAAGATGATTACTTTGCCAGTGATATGTTTTTAAGCATACATAATATACTATATAGTATTGTATATACCATTTGTTGTACAGAATAACTTTAAAATAAAATAAATCATCCAACTGGTCTATTATTCAAATTGTCTATTACATTTTTAAGACATGTTGCTATTATCAAGTATTCAAGTCTATAAGTATAGCTGTATGTATAACGTCATACAAACTAAATATTTAAACATTGTTAAATTGTGAACATACATATTTTCTTTCAGTAATAATAATTGATGACGAAAAACATATTATAATATACATGAAAGCTGCTGCTTAGGTTAGGTAAACCTAATGGATCTTTAAAATAATTTAATTATAATCCTTGAAGTTATGTTCGAAAGTTGTAAACATTTCGTGTGACATGCACAATGCTTCCTTTTAGAAATCTTAAATGTTGATATATTACATAATTAATACTTATAAAATAGGTATTTCAATATTATGGTGTAGAAACTAGAAAGTAGAAAACGTATTAGGCTTGGCCAGGCATGATGTCATGGAATATAATATATATTATAATGTTATGTGTTCATGACAAGAGCTCGGAATATATTATATTTACTCGATTAAGATTAACTACTAAACAGTAAACTGGTTATTTTTCAGATGGCAAAAAGAGAGTTCGACGGTACTACTATTAATCCCAATTTTTGATCTAAGACTGGATACATGTAACGACAAGTAGGTACCACACGATAATAATATCATGTTCAATACTTTGGTGCATTTTACATTTTTATTGGGTGATTAATAATTATAAATTATGAAAATTTATCTCATAGTGTGTAAGAGACGCGCCAGTGGCCCAGGCATTCTGGAAGCCACCGAGGGGATGATCAGCGAGCAAGTCTGAAGAGACGGCTTAATAATGAGTAATAAACTTTTTGTTTATTATACTACAAATAAGTAGTGAAGTACAAGTAACTAATTACCATAGTTGATAATATGATAATTTTTGTTTTGTTCGAAAGAGACCGGTCGCCATTTTGGTCGTTATTGGCAATTGCCATTACCGGCGCGGCGGCGCGGTGGTGACTGGTGAGGGAGCGGACCACGGACAGATTCGTCGGTACTCGGTGCCCGGCGGTGGCATACGGGCCGTCGGGTCATGGAGTACGGGCGAGTGGCGACGGTAGTTGTTCAAGTTGTTGTGCTTGCACCGGGTGGTGTGAGGGGAAATCGCGCGGTGGCGGTGCACGGTGCGCTTTTTCTTCCAGGGTCCGGAAATCGTCTCCTCCACGGATCGCCCGCAGCTGGTCGATCGGCCATTTTGAGAATTTTTGGTCGGGGGAAAAAAAAGGAAAAATTCTTTCCCTATCAATTTTTTCTATTGACCATTTTGTTTATGTATTTCCGTGATTTTAATCCCATTACCGATCGCCGTAAGTCGTTGATTAAACAATAATTAATTATGACAGTGCCCGAGCGTTTGCGAATATCGCCGTCGTACCGCCGAACCAGCCTCGTCCGATTCTGAGGTAAGCCCGTGATGATACACTATAAGGCTTGATTAACCCGACAGTATAGAGACGGTTTCGAATTAAAATATAGCGTTGACCGTGCAGTGGAAGTTCGGCGCAGCGCACTGAAAATCAGCTGAACGACGTTAGTTAATGACCACTCGTTCGTTGGGAGCCCTGGAAGGTAAAAAAGCGAACGCGATGGGTAACGCCGCGACGGCTAACAAGAAAGGTGACTCGGCCGAGAGCGTCAAAGAGTTCCTCGACCAGGCCAAGGAGGATTTCGAGGAGAAGTGGAAAAAGAACCCGACGAACACGGCGGCCCTCGAAGACTTTGACCGTATCAAGACGTTGGGTACGGGCTCGTTTGGCCGTGTCATGATCGTACAACATAAGGCTTCCAAGGAGTATTATGCCATGAAAATACTCGACAAACAGAAAGTGGTCAAGTTGAAACAGGTAGAACACACGTTGAACGAAAAGAGAATTTTACAAGCAATCAGTTTCCCGTTCCTCGTCAGTTTGAAATACCACTTCAAGGACAATTCCAATTTATATATGGTGCTTGAATACGTGCCGGGAGGTGAAATGTTCTCTCACCTGCGGAAGGTTGGCCGATTCAGCGAGCCACATTCGCGTTTTTACGCGGCTCAAATAGTGCTAGCATTCGAGTACCTACACTATCTTGACCTAATCTACAGAGATCTCAAGCCAGAAAACTTGCTGATCGATTCGCAGGGCTATTTGAAAGTGACTGACTTTGGTTTTGCGAAACGTGTCAAAGGGCGAACATGGACCCTGTGTGGTACGCCTGAGTATTTGGCGCCTGAAATTATATTAAGCAAGGGATATAATAAAGCTGTTGACTGGTGGGCTCTTGGAGTTCTAGTATACGAGATGGCTGCTGGTTATCCACCGTTCTTTGCTGACCAACCTATACAGATATACGAGAAAATTGTCTCGGGCAAAGTACGCTTCCCATCACATTTTGGTTCTGACCTAAAAGACCTACTGAGGAACTTGCTACAAGTGGATCTTACTAAACGATTTGGCAACCTGAAGAACGGTGTCAACGATATCAAAGGACACAAGTGGTTTGCATCAACAGATTGGATTGCCGTGTTCCAGAAAAAAATTGAAGCTCCGTTCATTCCTAGGTGCAAAGGACCAGGAGACACAAGCAATTTTGACGAATACGAGGAAGAAGCATTGAGAATCTCTTCGACGGAAAAATGCGCCAAAGAGTTTGCTGAGTTTTAAGGTACGCAAACTGTCTATTTTATTTAGATACATTTATACATTTTGTTTTTGCAACCTCAGTACACAATTAATATTAAAATAGGAGGACCAAACTGTTTATGAGAAATTCTGCTTGTATCAAAATTATTATAATTTAGTAGGTTTTTACTAAGATGGCTTTGTTTAGCCAGTGGCGTTCGCAGGAAATCAATTTTGTTCAAGAGTCAGTAAACTCAGAAATATTGTTATTACATCATTGTGTGAATATCTACACCATGCCGAACTAAAATGACAATGGTACATTTCATACATATAAATATACTCGAGTATATTTATACAATATCAAAATCTTGCTCTACCTTAGATAAGATACAATCTCTTTTTATATTGATTGTGTTCTTTTGTTAACTTGTTTACAATATCTGAATTAATATATTTCTTTTGATCCTATGTTGTTGTTAGATTTTGACAAATTGGGACTTTAGAGACATAATAGATAATTGAAATATAGTGATTTGTAAAAATAAAATAAACATATATAATATATATTATAACAATAATAATAATAATAATAATAATAAAAATAATTATTAATAATTAACTAAATTAAAATATTACTAGCTGTTACTTATATCATATTATTATTATATAGTGTATTCTGACCTCTGCGTACACCACTGCCTAAGTTTTCTCAAACCTTTTTATTTACTCAAAATAATCAAATATGGTTTAATCAACTATTAAAATGAATAGAACAATTTTTTTTTAGCCAATAATTTAAGTGTATACGTAAATAATTTTCCTCATCATAATGTATTATTTTATGTTTAAAATCGGTGCCATTTGTATTGAACCACCATTTGAACAACAGGTATCCGATTTCATTGCTTTTATTATCTGTTTAAACATTCTAAAGAGCTTGTCTAATATTAATTATTGTATGGTAATTATTATTGTTAATAATTTTTTTTTTTTTCGGAATTGGATAGTTCCTAGTGAAGTCACATTATAAATTTCCAATGTTATTCAATTTTTTGTTAATAAATAATGTTGACAAAAAAAAAAAAAAATAATAATAATAATAAAAAAATGTTCTGAATGATTAAATCTATTGTGTAAAATGCTAACATTTTGAAAACAAATTGCATTTAAATAATATATTATTTACTTTTATGTTTTAGTTCAAATGTAAAGTTTCTTAAAAACAAATTTGAGTAATTGTTAATTTTTGTATAGACATTTAAAGATTTTTTTTTAACTTGTTATACCTTATATGTTATCTACACTTTTTGATGTTTTATTTGGAATTCACTAAGAACTATTCATTTTGTATTCTGTTTTGTTTTTCTTTATACATATGTATGTATTTGTTTATTTATTTTTATTTTTGTGTCGAGTGCAATGCTATAATGTGTTAAGTGGTTTTTTATGTAGAGTTCACACTGAAAATATACTACATAATATACAATAATAATTAATATAATTATAATTATAGACTTAAACAGTTAAAAATATACTAGATATTAGCATTTTATTAGGTTTCTTTAAAAAAAAACATTTTGTCCCATTAACTATACCTATTTAATATATAATGTTAAATTGGCTTGCCAACATTTTGTGACAGAATACTAATACCCATGTATGTATTTTTTGTTTATATATATACTAAGCTCTAACTGATATTTCATTTTTCGTGCGGAGTTCAGGGTATGTTTCCCGGAGTTAGAAGCATCTACATATAACAACTTGTACTTAACTTAAAATTATGTTTTTCTTTAGGTATCAGTCTTGAAATGGTGTCAGCTCTTATGATTTTAAGTTATAATAAAACTAAAAATAATTTTAATAATAATCGCTTTACTTATCTACTTATTTATTACACACCTACAGTCTTTTTGTGATTTCTCCTAAATTAATTACATTAATTATGTTTTATTTTAATTATTTGTTTGTCATTTTGTAAGAAGCACAATCTATGAAATCATATTCTTGTTACCAATATTTACCATGTTTAGATTTTAAATGTGTAATAATCTAAAACTTAGTCTAAATGAGCATAAAAGATCCCTAGTCAGTATTTCAAAAAACTAAAATAATAATTATTGTTTTTTTAATATTTCACTTTATTATTGTTTAACTTTTGTTTTTCAATTGTCTATTTTTAGTTACAATTGATGAGTATTATTTTAAATTATTATTACGTTTTTATTATTATTAATTGTGATGTTTTTGTTTTGTGTTTTAACAAATCATTAGGCTATATGATAAAATTAAAAAATAATATTTCTAATATTTTAGATGGCATTTAATATTAGGTATTGTTTGTGTATGAATTTATGTTGGTTTTATTTATATATTATTTTGTAGTGTTCTTTTAGATCTATCATAATAATAATTATTATTATAATACTATGCTGTATATATATTATATTTTATTAAAATCATTTAAAAATAATATTTTTGTTGTTTTTATGAATATAGTTGTGTACCTACATTAACACAGTTTACCTGAAACTCAGATATTTAAGGTGCAGAATATTAAGAACACAGTTTAAAACAGGAATGCTGTATTTCGACATAAAATAAAATAAGAGTTAAACATTTTAAGTCATTGAGTTTACAATTCAAATAGTCTAATTAAAAGAAACACGTACAGTAAGCAATTATGCTAATCTATAACATTTTATAATCTGTTAACATTCTACTGAAGGTGGGATAACATTCACAAAACAATGGATGGATTATGCTTATAATAATCATTGACTTGTAATATGTCTATATATATAATATAAATATATTTATATATATTTATATTATATATATATAATTCATATATTTATATAATATTTAGTATTTATTTTAATGAAATAGTTTGTAAATATAATTTTTAACAAACTAAAAGTTTAAGGTGTAAGAAGCTTAGGAAGCATATCACTGCGACGTCGGCGTCCTGGACCACCAGCAAAATTAGCCGCTGCCATGCCCATTAAATGTTTGGCTGCTTGTGTGCCTGAGTAGCCTCGGCTTAAGCCCAAATCAAGCCCACGCTTAGAACTGGAAAACAATTAAAACAATTTTAAAAATTGAAATATTTCAAGTTGTACATAATATGAACTGTGCTTAATTCCTATTAAATGCCTGAAGATTGATTCTATAATATAAGTATTGAAAGGTCAAAGTATGTTATTTAGCCTTTAGAACTACTTATTAGTAGTGAAATTTACTCACAGGTAAATTATATAATTATATTGTTACAAACTTTAGTTTATGGATAAAGTTGTTGTATCCCCTCAGGAAGTTTAAAAGTGTATCAATGTTTTGCAATGTCGGATAATAACAGTACCTATACCAACCTTTGGTATAACATACTATATCTGTTTTATACTATACTTGGGGCATTTTAAAAATATACCTTGTTTTTTCTTACTTGAATATTTTATTTTAATAAAATATGATATAATTTGCCTTCTGCCTATCAAACCAAAATAAGCATTTCTACACATATATTAATATTTATTTATTTGTTTTCAAACAAGTATACTGTACATCTGTATCAATGTATATAGTTAATCAGTCATCAAAAATGTTAATGATATAAAACAATGAATCATCATTGCAGAATAATCATGACTATTATGTACTACATATTGTAATCTATAAGCTGGGAACATACTATGTTAAAATATCTTGAATTGTAGTATTGCAGACCACCTAATTAGTAACTATATAATAGGACGGTTGAAACCGCTAAGGATTAAACAAGAAATAGCAAGTCTGGACTTTAAAAAGTTAAAGTTAAGTTACTTTTAACTAACAAATTACATTTTTTTTCATGATATTATATAGTATCTTTATATGAATTGTAAATATTTGATATTTATGAAGAAAAAAAATTTGTAACTGATTTAATTTTTGATGAAGTTCATGTCTTCTTTATACTATTTAACTTGTAGTTATAGCTTTTACGGTTTAAAAAAATTAGTTAACTTGCCTAGCCTTGATAAATAGTACCTAAAATGTTGTTTTAATTATAAAATTGTATTTCTTAAACATTGATGACTATCTCAATTGATGTATAAAATTAATATATTATTATTTATTTTAATTAATATTTATTAATTAAATTTAGTATTCAACAAAATATAATTTCTGGATATGGGAATATTAAATTAGGTAGATATATTGGTATGATAAAGATAGGTACAACTGCACAATTACAATTATTACAACTAGGTTAGGTTACCTACCTATGCATATTTGTTATGATATTTTATACATTGTCACGTACTTTGAGTTTTATAATTTATTTTCATGTTTAAATTAATTTTTCATAACTGTATGTGTGCTTTAGTTTGGTTGTGTGTGTGTGTTGTGGGGCATTGGTGTAATAACCAAAGTCTTATGCAAATTTTATTGTTGGACTAATCAATAACTTTTGAGATTGCTGAAGTGATTGATGATTTAGCAAGTACAGAAAGCTTGATTTCATTTAATTATATTACCATAGGAAGAACTCCATTAAAATTTCATGTGGGCTAACATATGAGGGGGATTCAATTTCACACATCTAAAAAGGAGGGGGACTGATGGACTTTTTTTTGTTGGGGGGGGGCTGCCCCCCTCCCCCCCGATCTACGCCTATGAATTTGTTTATATTAGACATATAAATATAATCTAATAAACTTTAACCCCCCCCCCCCCAAAAAAAATGTATTTAACTGTATTCAATAGATTGAAAAATCAATGTACTGTAAGAAATGCAACTTGTTTAGTATAAATCTTTAATACACATTCATTTTCAATATTACTTTAAAAAAACAATATTACTTTCATTATAATTTATAAACATTCAACATGTTTTTCAAAAAAATTACGAAAACCCTAATCAAAGAATGTAACTATAGCAGCTGTCTTGTTTAATATCTTAAACATTTCAAACTCACTTAAATCTCGTATAACCTGTAAAAATAATGTTCTTGAGGATTAATTAAGTTTATAATTGTCGTTTTACAGGGAAAATA